GGGTCGCGGCCGTCAGGCGCACCACGAGGTTTTTGAGGATTGGTCGGCTTCCTGGATGACGTTCTTGAGCAAACCCAATAAACCTGGCAATAAGCCCGGGGACCTCAGGCCGATCTCCTTACTCGAGCCGGCTGGCAAGGCGATGAGCGGTATCCTTAAACATCATCTGATGCCTTACTTGCAGCCTTGGATCCAGGAACGGCATTTGTATGGATACTTGTCGACTCGATCTCCACAACAGGCCCTATGTCTTGTTTTTCAGCATTGCGAAGCAGTCAGAGAGCGAGCACGGGCGCAGGGACGCGATTTGCATGCCATACGAGAAGGGCATTGTCGGGGGGGTTGCGCAGGCGGGCTCCAAGTAAGCATTGACTTCACTCAGGCTTTTGATCGGGTAGATCGAGGCTTGCTCAACTCAGCCCTACTTATGATGAAAGTCCCGGAGGAGCTACGGAGCTTAATCATGCAGTGGGTGGAGACCACGACATTTCATGTTGTACAGGATGACGAAGATGAGATGTTTGCCGCATCCAGGGGGATACGTCAAGGCTGCTGGTTATCTCCGACATTATGGGTATGCGTCTCAGTCTTTCTTCTGCACACCATTGAACAGGAGTTGGGGGAACGATGGTGCAACGATCACTTGGTGGGATTCGCAGACGATACCCATTTGCGATGGGATATCTTCACAGCTCCGCAACTTCACCAGGCCTTGGACCAAGCCCATCGGGTACTTCACATTCTGGAGCAGGCGCGTCTCAAACTCAGCAGGGACAAAACCGTATGCTTATTACGATTGGAAGGAGGACAAGCAGCCCACATTAAGCGAAAGATCACGGAGAAGACCAAAGATGGTCGGTACCTCAAGTTAGGTGCTGATTATGTTTTGCCGCTTAAGCAAGAACATGTGTATTTAGGAGCATGCATCACCTACGGGGACTTTGAACACAAGAACGTGAAGCACAGAGTTCATGCAGGCAAAGTTGCATTTCAGCGTGTACGAAAATTCCTCATGGCCGAAAAAGCGGCATCACTACAGAAGCGACTTCGACTCTGGAAGGCCATCGTCATCCCCACAGTCATGTACTCGATCACCGCGTCAGGCTTGCTCCCCAAGGGATTCGATTTACTCCGCATTATGTTGACCCGACCGGCGAGGGCTATCGCACGAAGCCCAAGGTATCGGACAGGGGGGGAAAACGGCGAAGACATCATCACAGAATCGGATGAGAGCTTTTGGCGCAAGGTCGGGTTGTGCTCACCGGCGGAGTTGGTTCGACAACGCCTCGAGGCCACGGTTACACGTACCAAGCAGTTCTGCAGCACGCTACCAGAAAAGGATGTGCGTATATGCGCAGTTGTCCGGGAACGGGAACAAGCGCTACTACAACAATTCCAGGACGGCTGCCTGATCAAGTCGCGCTCTACATCAGTTCATGTGCGTGATTTGTGCCATGCCGAGTTCGGGGACTACAGCTCTCTACGGGCGCAAAGGCAAAGCTTCACAGCGCAGAGAGGCGGGCCGAAACAGCACCAGAGTTTGATCGTCAGAGGCACGGGGTGGATGGCATGCCGACGTGCTCTATGTGCGGGCATCGTTTCTTGAGGTGGGCCGATTTACAGAAGCACGTGACGGGCAACTTCTGTCAAAAGCGTAGTGATACACCTCAGGCCACTCCGGTAGCAGAACGACCATCTATCCTACAACGTGCCCGAGAAGGAAGAATACAGGTGGACACACTTAGTATCGACAATCTGAGTGATGAGCTTAAGCATGAGTTGTTGCATCATTGTGCATTGTGTCGGCAGTGGCAACCCAACGACAAGTACATCAAGGTTCATTGGGGCAGAGTACACAAGCAAGAGTGGCAGGAGCATGAGGCCAGAACATTTCAGTGGAGACGGTCGCAGTTTGCTCGCATCACAGGCACATGTGAATGGTGCGACAAGAAAGTGAGCAGAGGCAGCGTGCATTCCGATTCATGTCCCGTACTCTTTCAGTTGTCCATGATTCGGTCAATGATACATCCAGCAACGGCAGGTGAGAATGCGGATACAATGAGTGCCGGAACCGAGCTTGTGACAGTACCGTTGCCAGAAGTTGCGGCGAACAAACATTGGACCAAACAGTGCCAGCTGTGCCATGCGACATTCACTGCAAGGGGCATGAGCAAACACATGGAGCAAGCTCATGCACAGGTGTGGGCAACTTCCAAACCAGTGGTTGAAGCTCTGTGTACACAGTGGGCCACCAGCCTCAAAAGTCCTTGTCAGTTTTGCGGAGGACGGTTCAACAGATCCACTCAACATGCACGTGTATGTCACGTCTTATTTCAGGCTGCCTTAAAGCATTCACTAAGTGCTACTCCGGCGGTCGTTGACGATAGCGGGCCAAACCTCGGAGGGGGAGTTCCTGGAAATCTTCGGGGCAACGATGCCGGCTCTTCGGGACATTGTGGCGAAGAGGGCAGCGGAGGGATCAGGACAGCACGGGCCAAACAAACGGCCACACTTGGAGACTACAAAGGTTTCCAAGGGCAAGGGCTGGGGCAAGGGAAATCGCGGCGGAAACGGATGGAACAATCGGTTTCACAGCGCGAACTCCACTCAGAACCCGAACAGATCTCCACAGAGGATTGGCAGCACATGATGCACATCATATCGCGCCTCTTAGTGCAACACGACACGGAATTGCAGATGCTAAAGCTGGACAAGCAGTACCTTCTCCACTTCGAGATGGGGCCCCAGGGAATGGTTCACATGTTTTGGGAAGCTGCTCAGGTTTGGAAGAAAGCCAGAGACGAACAGCCCCCGAAAGTGGACAAATCGTTGAGGATCACCCTTCTGCTGTGCATGATGATGGAGTTGGAGGGCCGCTTGGACAAGATGATGGTTCACGAACAGACCAAGGACAACTTGATCAAGCACGGCTGGTTGCAGACGACCATGGGGCAACCGGCATGGCCCTACATGGTGTGGAC